ATTCTGATGATGCTGATGCTGAACATGCTGCCGATGATGATGTTGATGCTGATGCTGATGATGATGAGGATGCTGATGAGGAGGAACATCATGAGGAGGCGGAGAAGGAGGAGATGGGGAGGAGAGACTGGAGGAGGATGAGGCGGAATAGGAGGAGGAGGAATATGAGGACCAGGGGGAGGAGGAGGTGGAGGAAGAACATGTTGATGATGATGCTGATGAGTGTGCTGCTGATGATGCTGATGACGATGATGATGCTGCTGCTGATGCTGCTGCTGATGCTGATGATGATGCTGATGCTGATGATGATGATAATGATGATGATGCTGATCCTGATGCTGATGCTTATTACGCTTATGATTATGAAGCTGCTGCTGATGCTGATGCTGATGCTGATGCTGCTGCTACTGATGATGATGATGACGATGATTATGATGATGATGATGCTGCTGCTGATGATGATGATGATGATGCTGATGATGATGATGATGATGATGATGATGATGATGATGATGATGATGATGATGATGATTATGATGGTGCTGCTGCTGCTGATGATGATGATGAGGAGGAGGAGGAGGAGGATGAGGATGCGGAGGAGGATGATCAGGAGGAACACAACGAACACGACAAGGAGGAGGAGGAGGACGAGGAGGAGGAGGAGGAGGAGGACGGAAGGAACGGACGATTACAAGGAGGATGATTAGCCGGACTTTGGATATATTTTATTATGAGAGGCTCTTGAAGGACGACCAAGGCCATCTTAGAGGCTCTCTTGGGGTCATCGTGGGGCCTCTTGGGGCACTCGTGGGGCCTCTTGGAGCTCATGTTGGGTGTCTTGGGGTCTTCTTGGGGCCCATTGGAGGGGTCTGGCCCCATGGCTCAAACAGAGAGAGGTTCTCCAATTCAGCCCCCCCCCGTCCCCCCTGGGAGACTCAAAGATGGCGTCTTGATGGCCTTTTGGGCCTCTCTTGGAGCGCTCTTGGGCGCTTTCGGGGCCCTCATTGGCCCCCTTTTGGGGCTCTCTTGGGCAGCGTTGGGATCATCTCGAGGCCCCCAAAGCCCATCAGAATCGAAACAACGAGGAGACACCACACATTGACCTGGTCAAGGTGTTTGAAGGATTTTGGCCTCTTGGAGGCTGCCTGGGAAGGCTCGGAGGGCACTTGGAACTGTCTTGGGGCTGTCTTGGGGTCTCTTGGAGGTATGAAGGCGGCTATATTCAACGGTCTTCGGCTATCTTGAGCCATCTTGGAGGCCGTCTTGGTCTGCCGAGGGCCCTCTTGGAGCCATCTTGGGCCCATCTTGAAACTCCTAACTTCCCGTCGTCCCCCCCCCCGCTCCCAGGCCCAGGGGAGTGGGTGGGTGGAGGGGTAAACCCCTCCCGCGAGTAGGGGAAGGAGGGGGGGAGAAAACAAATCTCGCTAAGCCACATACGCCCTAAAGGGCTGGTGGGATTCCTTCGCAACGCAAGCGAGAAACCCGCAGTACTAGCATGATTTGGGGAATCTGTTTTTGCCCCCTTTGGGCCGCCGGAGACCCTCCGATGCCTCCAGATACCTCCAGGAACTTCCAGAGACCTCCAGAAACCTCCAGATGTATTTGGATACTTGTGGGGAGGTGAGGACTCGGGTCGAGATGATCTTCGGAGATGTGTGTGTGTGGGGGGTCTCTTCGTTCTGACCCCCACCACCTCCGATGAGGAGTATGTGCAGGAGTAGGAACATATTGGGGCAAGCGAGACGTGGACAGAGGGAACTACGAGGCGGAGGAGGGCGACGGGGATACGCAGGATGAGGATAATTGCGATGATGATGAGAAGGAGCAGGAGGATGATGATGAGGGGCATGGGAAGGAGGAGGAGGACGAGGAGGAGGAGGAGGAGGAGGAGGAGGATGAGGGTGAGTGGGTGGATGGGTAAGTGGGGGAAGGAGGAGAACGGTGATGGTGCAGATGAGGATGGTGATGCTGACGATGACAATGATGCTGACGATGTAAACACCAGTGTCGACGGCAAAAATGATGATGGTCGTGATAATGATATCACTGTTGATGGTGGGGGTAACGTTGACGATAGAGACTAATGATGATGCTCGTGACTGTGGGGCGGCTGACCATGATAATGCTGATGACGATTCTGATGACGACCATGATGATGTTGGTGGTGACGGTGAGTATGAGGATGAAGAGGACTAGGCTCGTAATAATTTTGTTGTGCTGCTCATGCTAATGCCGATGGTGGTGCTTGTGGCGATAAGGTCGAGGTTGCTGTTATCGGTGGTGAGAAATGTGCCCGCCTCAGCCGCTGGGTCGACCGGGGCCGGTGGCGCCCGGAAGCTACCTGGACAAGGCGGCGGCGCCCTCTCCGAGGTCCGAGGATGCAGGTTCGAGGATTGAGGCGTTTGGTCGATTCTGGGCCTCTGGAGGGCTCCGGGGGCCCCTGGGGGCCCCTGGCGGCCTCCGCAGGGACCTCTAGAGACTTCGGTTCGGGGACGTCCAGGGGCTTTTTCGGGGACCCGTGGTGATCTCCCAGGCTTCCGATGAGGGGATTGTTTGCTCATTCTCGGCGCTTTTCTCAGCATCGGGCCCTCGTGCGGGCTGGTGTTCGGGCCCGCCCCAGGGGCCGCCAACAGAGCAGATCTGGGACGGAAAGCACATCCCCAGGAAGCGGGTCGAGAGCTTTGGGTCGGGAGTCGGCTATTCGTAAGGGTGACCTTTCGCCAGAGTGACCTTCGCTGCGGGCACAGTGGGGTCCCCAGATGGCCCAAGGCAACACGATAGCAGCGCTCGGCCTCCCCCGGAAGTCGGGCACCACGGGTCGCTCTTGCCTAGGGTCGCTCTTACGCGTAGCGGAGGGAGGTCTGGGCGTGCGCTGCTGCTCGGCGGCCTGGGGAGGTGGGGGCGGGTGCGTCCGAGCATCTTGAGGGCCTCTCGTCGCCGATGGGTCGGGGAGGGAGGTCCTCAGACTGCCCGCTGCTGGCTTCGCCGCTGGCTTGGCTGCCGCCGCCCGCTCTTGCCCGTCGTTCGCTCGCTCGCGCGCTCTCGGGTGCGCCCCGTCGCGGCCGCGACGGTCGGGCGCGTCGTCGGGCGGAGGAACGCTCGTGGAACGCGAAAGGCAGAAAGGCAGGCAGGCCTCCAGACCTCCCAAGGGCGTGCTTTTTCAGGCAAGAGTGGAGTTTTTATTGTTGCTCTCAGCCCTCCTGTGTTTGTGTCTCGTCTTGAGAGGAGCACTGCGGTCGCACGCCTTCCGTCCTCCCGCCTCCTCTCCTCACTTCTCCTTTTCTCTCCTGCCTCTTGCTCAGCTCTCTCCTGCCTGCCAGCTCGCCTCCCACCTCGCCGTCCTACGTGACCTCGCCATCCCTGGGGGTTGCGAGGTGTGAAGCTGTCGCCACTTTGGAGGGCCGCTGTGGAGGCCATCGCAGTGGCGTCTCACGTGGGGAGGCCTCGCAATCCTGGGGGGCCGCGAAGTTTTACATTGTCGTCACGTTCGAGATTTGCCGGGGGGAAGCAAAGTGGCGCCTTACGCGGACCCAGGCTAGACCTCGCCATCCTTGGGGGGTTGCGAAATATGAATTTGGTCGCCACTTTCGAGGGATGCTGGGGGGGACAGCACGGCGACGTCTTACGCGGACCCAGATCAAACCTCGCTATCCTTTGGGTTGCTGCGAAGTGCGACACTGTTGCCACTTTCGAGGGCCGCTGGGGGGAC